ACACACACACACACACACACACACACACACACACACACACACACACACACAATTTTCATTTTCAACTCACAGATTATATCTGCATCAGCTAAAAAATGACTACGAAGCAGAATAACAAAAGCTCCTTCGTTTTTTCTTAAAAGACGTTAAAATAAAAAGAAAGCAAAGACTCCATTCATTAATGCAATAGTCTCAGGTACAAAAGTGAGCGATTCATCAGGTACAAAGGTGAGTGATTCATCGCCACATACCTCCAAAGACTCCGAGTGAACTTCTTGCAACTTTTCATCCGAGCTATGAGACTTCTTCAACTGTTCCATTTCTTTCCTTTTACTCTCCTGAAGGATTGGGCGAAAAAAAAACCCAGAGTCGATGGGCAGGTGAGTTCATTGACAGATTTATTTACCATCAATCATTAATTGTTTTCACTGCTGACCTTTTGTGTATATATTATAAGTAACATATGGCTTAGAAAGTTCTTCCTTATGAGATTGAATGAGGGGTTGGTGGGTTTTTTTAATGAAATGTGAGGCATCGTGGTGAAATCAGGCGCTCGTCAAAATAATGAAATCGAAGAAATTGGGCATTTTTCTCTCCGTTTGGCAATTTTTATCTAATTCTTGATTTTAAACTCAACACCTTAAAGGTCCATTTAAAAACACATTTCTGTGTGTGCTGTAGAAGCTAGAGAGGTGAGCAGAGTAAGCCCAATTCCCTGTAAGGACTTCTCTGTTGACATCCCCCCCTTAGCGCTCATATGATCTTATGCAGTTGCGAGCGCCGTAAAACTGCTACTTAAACTAAAACTAAGATTGCTGAATGGACGACGTGAGTTTTAGTATGTGCGGCTTCACAACGTACCGTGAACTTTTTCTTCATTTCATCCCTGATCCGTCTCTCTTTCTCTAACGCATCCTCCTTCAATTTCAACAGCTGCTGGGCGTTTGTGTGAGCCTGGGCCAGTTGCCGCATCTCGTCTTGCAGAGAAGAAATCTGATTGATGAACTTGCTGATGGTGTCACCCTGAGAACAGAAAGAAAAATGTGAGGCATTGTGGTGATATCAAGCGCTCGTCAAAATACCGAAATCATCTGAATTTTAAGGCTGTTGGGCAATTCTTTTTTAATTTTCTTTTTGTCCCTCAACACCTTCTTGAGCCATACTGCCCTGAGCCGGCCTTCGTGTCATGTTGCCATATCTCTGGCTTTTACCGACTTTCCCACTGTAGAGCTATACCAGCTTTAACCAGCCTGACACACCTGCCTTTAGTGCAGGCTCAAAATAAGAACATTCCACTCTAAATTTACAAGCTGACGTTCTAGGTCTTTAAATTGTATGTGAAATTTCAGTGAAATACTTCGCTTGGATCTAAAGCAAAAGCAATTTCTTTACTACACCCCCATGACTCTGAAAAAGATTCAAATAATTCGGTTCTGGGAAGCCATCAGCTGGCCGCCATTTCGGTTCTGCTGTGCTGACCTGCTGACCTATTTAAGGTGCTAAGAGGGTTAAACCTCTCGACTGTGACAAAACTCACCTGATCCCTGTTTTTCTGCATGTATTCATCTCTCATCCGCTCCAGTTCTTCAATGTCCTCTCTCACAGCCTGAGGAAAAAAAAACAAAGGATGAAAATTTAAATAAGCGACTACGCATAGCACCTAATACAGAAAATCTGCAACCATTTTGATGTTTAATGAATTCACTCCATTTTTGTCTGTGCACCAGTATCCTACATTGTTTTCCACACAAAATGTTTTGGTGTGCACTCGTTCTTTTGTTTGAGTAAAAAGATGCACATCAACACAATATAGTCTTCAAAAGCCGGAAAAAAGCAATGGAGGCAGACAGAGACTGGAAACAAGAAAGGGGTAACAAAAAAAAAGAGTAAATATAGGACCAATTGGCGGCACCTTCTAACCACCAGCGTAGGCCTACACTTACTCCTGAGATTCGCAATGAAAAGCTAATAATTAATAATAGCTCGTTTGTCAATGTCTGACGATGACCAATACATGCGCAGTGGATAATTTTTCTCCAGCGAAATAGAAGAATTAGAAGAATTAAAGATTATGACCACTTTTGACTTCTTCTGTTGTCATTGTCAATGAGACAAATTCTGGCACAGAAAAGTTTGCCACATTTTGAACATTTCAAGGCTCCATTTCCAGTTATCCAAACAAACAAACCCTCAAAACCAACTAATCTTCCTCTAGTTCAAATTATCCTCCTAAATTCAAAACCCAAAGGAACAAACCTTCATCTTTTTCAAATTATCATATCCTCCAAAAAAAACAACCCAAAACAACAAACCTTCATCTTATTCAAAATATATATTCTCCATCATCTTATTCAAATTATCCTCCCAAAAACAAAACCCCAAAAATGGACCAACCTTCATCTTATTCAAAATACCAATCATCATCTTATCAAATTATCCTCCAAAAATCAAAACCCAAAAACCAACCAACCTTCCTCTTGTTCAAATTATCCTCCCAAAAACAAAATCCAAAATAACAAACCTTCATCTTATTCAAAATATCCTCCATCACCTTATTCAAAATATCCTCCATAAAACAAAACCCAAAGGAACAAACCTTCACCTAATTCAAATTATCCTATCCTCCAAAAAACAAAACTTCAAAAACGGACCAACCTTCACCTTATTCAAATTATCCTCCCAAAAACAAAACTCCAAAACAGCAAACCTTCATCTCATTCAAAATATCCTCAATCATGTTATTCAAATTATCCTCCCAAAAAAACCCCCCCAAAAACAGTAAACTTTCATCTTATTCAAATTATCCTCCATCGTCTTATTCAAATTATCCTTCCAAAAAACAAAAACCTAAAAAAAAACAACCCAAAAACGGACCAACCTTCATCTTGTTCAGGTTATCCTCCAGCTGTTTCTTGGCCTTGTGCAGATACTCCATCTTGTGCCGCTGTCCCGACAGCTTCCCCTTGAGCTCCTCCCTCTCCTTCTCCATGTCCCCAAGACGCTGCCGCAGCTCCGTGTTGATCTTGACCAGCTCCTGGTTCCGGCACGACAGACTGTCGCTCTGTTTGCGCACCTGCCGCACGTGGGAAAAACGGTGGAAAATAACGTAAGATAAGATAATGTGGTGTCTAATCCAAATTAGCTGATTTCAACAGCATGAGCTTAGAGCGATGGTAGCGTTATTTAACTTACTGGAGAATTTAGAAAAAACGACAATAATTTCTCTCCATGAATCACACAAACTGCAAGAAACGAACCTCGGAGACTTCCTTAGCTGCTTTCCTGCTTGATTTCTCCTTCTCCTTCTTCAGCTCTGCTTTCAAACCATCCATCCTCTCCTCGAAAACCTTCAGCTCCTGCCTCAGCTCATCCTGTTCTTTGCTCCTGTGACAAGAGGAGATGGAATGAATTGCGAGCCTAATCATGAATACACTCATAAACATAAGCCCACACACATACTCATATTTGCATGGACACACAAGCATGAAGCACATACACATGCACATAGATACACATATGAATGCATATGTGCATACATACACTCACACGTACGCACGCACCCAGCATGTACACACACACCCACACAGAAACACACACACATTATACACACACACAAACACACACACACACACACACACACACACACACA